ATTTATCTAAATTCCTTCATTTGATAATGTAGAAAAATTGCTACAAAATATACTTAGTCACGATAATTCATTATTTGATAGTAATTTGTATAAATAAGTTAATTTTACACAATTTTACAAAGAATGGGCGAGTGTCGGCTACTTGAATTTGACAATAAGTATAAGCAAAAGATTATCTAAATAAAAATTACATATATTACACATATATATATATATATATATATATATATATATATACAAGAATTGCTCACTTAGCATTATAAAATTTATAAGATATAGGTATAACCCATGCAACTTTACATTGTTATACCATCGTGTGAAAAGATATATATTAGTAACGTGACGTTGGCGTAAAGGTCTTTCGAATGACACTTTGAACTAAGTTGGCATCCTAATGGCTTATTACTTCACATTGGTATACAATAACCATTTGCGTCAGAAATATAAGTGGGAGAATATCTAAGGATCGAATTCATGCTATATATAACGTGTATTAAAGCTATATTATATAAGGTGAGTTAAAGTAAATTAAAAGTACTAAAAGTACCAGTTAAAATAGCTCTTATTTAATAATTTATAATAGATTTACTTTCACCCGTTGCTTTTAAGCTCGGGTTACAAATTATACAGTAATAAAGAATAACCAATGGGAAGTTTCATGTGAAGCAGACAAGAGGTTCTGAAATTGGTTAACATTCAACCTAATTAATGTACTTCTAGAAGGTTGGAATACAATATTTTTTCCATATGGTAATTTAGGTAAATATATTTCAGAAGCCGTTTTTCAAATTTAGCTAATTAGCAATGAAATATGTTTCATATGTAGTAAATAGTTTGTAATATATTTACTTCTCTAGCCTCTAGGTGCGTTATAATTTTTTTAAACGGAACCCTAATACTTTTTCTAAAATAAAAGTAGCCTATGTTACTCTCTATAATATCAGCTATCTTTCAGTGAAAGTCCATTCAAAATTAGTCCAGCCGTTTCAGAGATTATCTGGAACAAACAGACAGATAGACAAAAAATTAAAAATATGTGTTTTCCTTATAAGTAGGTACCGTATATAATTTCATATGCATTTAGTAAAACGCTGTTATTTTGACATTACAAATAGACACTTCAATTTTTTTTTATCTGTATAGATTGGCATTAACTTCAAACTAATACGAAATTTAAAAATATATAAAAAAAACCGTAAATTGTTCAAATTTTAACAATTTTGACCATTTCTTGTTACTTATTTTAATTACGAAATAAAGTTTAAAATATATTAATTCTATTATTAAAGTTTTAATATGTAATCTACATTAGTTTAGGAGTTAAATATTATTGTTGCTGTCCGCTTCAGGTGAGACCCCAATTTCATTTTTATCCGAATCTTGTACGCTCAGCGAAAATAACGTTCAAATCGTTTGATCTAACCCACTGGTATCTACTCCTTTTCATTTCTAGGAAAGAAAGCCTATGTCCTTGTCTTCCTAATCCTGAGTACCGTTAAGGATTACAAACACAAACAGAATATAAAGTTGGTTTTTTGATAGATGTGCCAATAACTTTATAAAATATATTATTGTCATTTGTAATTTCATTAAAAACAGAAGATAAAAAACCGCTAAAGTGTGAATCGGACTCGCGCACGAAGGGTTCCGTACCAGTATCAATAAAAACGGCAAAAAATCACGTTTGTTGTATGGGAGCCCCCTTAAATATTTATTTTATTCTGTTTTTTAGTATTTGTTGTTATAGTGAAAATTTCAACTGTCAAACTATCACGGGTCATGAGATACAGCCTGGTGACAGACGGACAGACAGTAACACAGACAGACAGACAGATAGACAGACGGACGGACATCGGAGTCTTAGTAATAGGGTCCCTCTACCCTTTGAGTACGGGACCCTAAAAATAAGTTTAAGCCTGCGAAGTTTCTTTCGCCAGATCTTATCAAGACTAAGGCTTTTCTTTTCAAATTAGTGGTTCCTATTGCGTACAGTAACAATTGTACCTATTAATTTAATTACGGATAGGTACCGTCATTTTATTTATGTGTACTTATAAATTAATTGCTATAAAATAATTTGCCTATTGCACTGTAGTGGAGTGTCATGTTGAGTTTCGCATATCACTTACTAAGCTTATTGATATACTAAATATTTGAGTCTGATTATGAATGACATATCTCGGCGAAGGGACCGGAAAATTCACAGAAATAACTCGACATAGGTGGAATACTGAAACCGGTTTGAAATGTCGATATCCTTCAAGGGAAATGTATATAAGTGACAGATAGATGAGCAGAAAGTTATATAAATACATGAACCTAATATTCTTATAAGATTTTTGCTATCAAATATTCAGGCTTTTAAAGGTTAAAAATTATTCATAACAATAAATCTGCTAGATTCAAGCTTATGATAGTAATCAGCCCTTTTTAACTTCTCACGGTTGGCTTGGTTTTCCTTCGATGCGGAGGGATAAAGCCACGCAGACCAATTTCGAGTTGGTGGACTTCACATATCTTTCGAAAACTTACTAGGTTCTCTCAGATGAAAATATCAGAGGTGCGAAACCCGTTATTTGAACCCACTTCACTCGCTTCGAACTCGCTTCAAGCGAGCGCGTTACCACTAAACTACCACTGCCTGTTTAGTATAGTATCTAATTTATACATATAATGTCTGTACATGGAAGATATTTGAGAAAAACTATTATTATGGGGGGTTTTTATCAACGCAATAGATGATTTTTAGGATTTTTGTCTGTTTGTCTGATTACCTGTGCGTTTTAAATAAAACTATCTTTTCGGTTTTTCGCGAATTTATTTTGATATTTGGTTCCCGACGTTTCGAATGCTTTACAGCAATCATAGTCACGTATGGTAGGCTGTCTGTAACAACTTTATAGTACCTTTGAGACATCTAACACCTTAGTCTCTCCCTTGGCCATGATTGCCGTAAAGCATTCGAAACGTCGGGAACCAAAAATTTAAATAAATTCGCAAAAAAAATCCGAAAAGATAGTTTTATTTAAAATGCCCAATATTTGCGTAAATCTAAAAAAGTATTATGCTTTATTTTTTTTAAAACATGCCTAGGGATGAACCCGAGCGAAGCGAGGGTGGGTCGTTAGTCAATTTTATAAGTCATATAATAATAATAATAAATAGTATTTATTGCCATAAAAACAGTAACAAATGTTAGCAGAATCAGTAAGGCTTAAAGTAACTTATTGCAAAAGGTAATAACTCAGCCAATGCTGCTAAGACCTAAATCTCAAGCAGCGCTGATTTTCAGTTACACCCAGCTCCCTAGGGTGTTAAGCGGGGAGCAATGCAAGAGGACTATTCCTCCAGTTAACCTCTACAAGATTAAAAAAAAAAGTAATGAAAACAAAAATAAAATTTAAAAAATAAAAGTATTTGTGCGCGTCATATAAAAATAGATTACAAAATAAGTGGCCTCTATTGATTATAAGAATTTTAATGTCCGCCTGAGAGGATGTTAAAAGACCAAAGTACTTTTATATTCATTCATCTTATTGCTCCAGCTATAGGTCATTACGTGCATATCGTTGGATGACGAGGTATTTTAGCCTAGTCATAACATTTCTTTGATATATACCTATATATATATATATATATATATATATATATATATATATATATATATATATATATATATATATATAAGGTGTAAGAGATTGCTCTACATGACCTCTGTAGAGACCAAAATATATAACTCATAATATTCCGATCGTTTGACTTATGAAAGATTTCATAACTAATTTGGACCATCTGTCCCATTTCTATCTCTATCAATGCCGGATTGTCCATAAGGCAGTGTTGGCAACTGCCTCGCACCGAGATATTTTTTTGAAAAATTAAAAAAATAGGTGAAAATTCGACTATGAGGACAATTACAACAGTTAAATTTCTATTAAATCTACCTAACAGCGTTTTTCCGTGATGCGGTAACAGACAGACAGACAGACAAAAATTGTAAATACTATTGATTCAGCCTCTGTATCGATAATAATGTTTATTTCAACAAGATTTTCCAAAAAATGTTTAATGTACAGATTCGGCTTAGTTACAATTTTATTATATGTATAGTTAATTTTGGTAGTAACTCAAAAAGAATTGATAAAGGATCATAGCACCAGAAGCTTTTAACTCAATAAATTTTATTATTTATACGATATTGTATAAGCTATAAGCAAGGTAAAGTAATATGTAAGCCATATTTGCATAAAGAGAGAAATGATACTTATAATATTGAAGTATCGATAACAACATTTTGTAACAAATGTACATATAATATGAAGATCCTTTTAATATGAAATAATATGTTATATTCATTAAACTGTTTTTGAGAGCTTTACTTTCTAATAAAAAATATAATATAATTTAAATTAGAATGTCTTCGCGTTACAATTCCTAAGCTATTCTTGAAAGTAAGAGTTTATCCGAAATCTTAGTTATAACAACAGATACAGTAATATTTGTATCGTAAAATAAAGATTCTTAAATGTTACTTTAGTAGCATAAAACAAAAGTAGTTAAATCGGATTGTGCTATATTTTATGTTTTGTTTTGTTATAATACAATAAAAATTAGATTTAATTTAATTTAGCCTTGTTTAACAGTATATATTTTTATTGTTAATACTTAGTTCTGTTCATATACACGTGATGTTCACATCTTAGAAGACATCATTTGTCTGATTGTATACTTTAGAATAATTATAATTAAGATTGTTCATTTCATCTGTTCAACTTATAAATAAATAAGTATTTAGGATCTCAATCTTCCTTTACTGGGTATTTGGTAAAAATTTAATCAGAATACAAAACTCAAGATATCCATCATGAATACAAAAAAGGAAAAACATAAAAAGTTTTATATCACACTTTATTGCCAACTCGTTTCTAACATTTTACGATGTTCGGTAAAAAAAATAAAACAAACAAAAACATAGTAAATCGAAGTCCAACAATTATCTATAGGGTTTGGGGACGGACACGTTCAACCGCGGGTGGGTGAGCCTCGATGTACTGGAGACTACGGAGGATCATTTCCGGGATTGGTGGAGGCACGGGGAGGTGGCTACCCTGTAAACAAATCATAGGATATAAGATAAAACCTTTTCATCTATTCACTTCCATAAAACCATTACTGTAGCTCATTTTATTCAATACTTTTTGAGTTAACCTTAAAATATATATCTATTTGTAATGCACACTATAAAAAAATTCTATAAATGACCAAAAAAACAAAATGTCAAATGATAAAAACAATAAATTTGGCATCTACAATATAAATCTGTTACGTCAGATAGAATAACGTAGATGCTTAATGATATACTATTGTAGCAATGAAAAGATCAAGGTTTATCGAGTTTATTTTAGAGATCGTCGATATCAAGGAATTTATATTTTTTTATGAATTCGATATTATTGTTAAGTTATTATAATTAATATCACTAGTTAGTACGTATTTATATTATTTGTACTTGCTTTCGTTTGCATATTTTTTTAAAGTAAAATATTAGTATATAATGGTTATGGCCGCTAAGATTTGAATCATTAAAATCTGTGATTTTAATGATTTTTGGTGAATTTTTAAAATTATTTGTACTTACAGTAGGACGGAATCCGTATTCATCGGCAGTCCAGTCTAGGCTGACGGGGGTACCATCGGGAGCAGTGTACCTGACTGATCCCTTAACTTCAAGAGCAGGGTTGTCCTAGAAAATTTTAAAACATATAATAGCAATACTGGCGGTACTCTATAGTATAAAAGTTTAAATAAACCTGTCATTATTAAATATTTTCCGAAAACCTATTTGCTTTCTAAGTGAAATTTATTGTTAATTAAACAAATAATTTGCCAGCACGGCCCCTTGATATAAATATCGAGTTATTAAAATACTCTTTGAAGCCCCCAGCTTAATTTAATCAATTATAAATTAAGAGTAAAGATCCTTTACCTGTCGAGGTCAAATTTATTACGTTTATATTTTAAATAATATTATAGCTTAGTAGCTTTACAAACATTACGGTGTAACTTAAAATAAATATAGTGTCTGGGTACATCCCTAGCCATTAAAAGAATTCTGCCAATTTTAAGACAGTTTTCTATGATAATTGACTCTTTAAGGACTAGATATAGAAGGCAAAGTTCCACTTAAATTTAGATTTAAAAAAAAATTAAAACTATTTCTAAATATTCATTAATAACATTGACTTACAGAGTTGGGGTTCTTCACGACACCCTCAGATTGGGAGACGATGCCATTGCCAGTTTCGTATCCGTACGAGAAGCTGTTCCCTTCAGGGCTGATATCGTAAGAAGACCTGAGGATTTGATCCTTGGACTCATCACCCTTGAGGATGTGAGAGACATCAGCAGCGGCGCAGGCCACAGCGACGGCGAAAACGACTAGGAATTTCTGAAAGAAAATATTATTTAAATTTATGATACTACATAAATTGGGTGCAACAATATGACACAAATAGCTTTAAGTAATAAATGTTCAATAGAAAAATATTATTATATTAAAAGGAAATTTAATGAACCAAATAAAGTTAATGTTGATTATAATTGTTAAATATTAAGTTGAAATTGATAATCGAAATTTAAGACACTATTTTTTGTGAAGCTTCATTATATTTAATAGGTAAAGCTGTCTTACCATTTTGTAAGTGTGTTGTCGGAGCTGATTGAGTGTCAGTCTGACTTCTGAATTTCGCCAATGCCTTTATATAGGTATTGTCCAGAATCTTGATGAGAATTCATGAACATGTATCTGCTAAAAGAATTTATAACCAAATATTTATTACATACTTTAATACCTATACATTTGAGTTGAGATTTGAAATATCGCCATTTAAATTTAAATAATATAAAAAATAAAAAAGTGTATACATTTTTGAATAACTTAGAAATAACGAAATGTGGCTTAAAGAATTCCAAAGATTTACTGCAGTTACTTTTAGTTATTAATAAATATTTGAAATATTAACTTATTGTTTATTTTATTCAATTTTCTTTCAGTTAAGCTTTCTTCGCTTATTCATCAGATTGATGCAAATTCATAATAATGCTTAGAACATGCTTTTAAATATTTTTATCACGTTTGAAATAGAACTGTAATTATTAAACATAATATATAACTTACTAGATAACTTGATACGAGTATACTTTCAGTGTATATAAATGAATATTATATATATATATATATATATATATATATATATATATATATATGATGATGATGATGTTCTCCTGGCCGATTCCGGCCACGGCGGCCAATCTCATTGAGACTAGCCAACTGCGCAGGAGATATTATAGTGCACCGTGTGTACGCGCAGACACAACGTGCACTCTCTATTCCTGTTACTCCCATTACTCCGGTGGGACGACTGCTCGACACGACCAGTGAGAGTTAAGGCGCAGGACCGACGGCTTTACGTGCTCTCCGAAGCACGGGGGTGAAACACCGCCAACTTCCCAACTCCGGGCTGTTACTGAGACTTACTATACAGAAAGACTCAATAACTAAACTTGGCCCGACCCGGGACTCGAACCCAGGACCTCCGAGTGTGCAGCCGTACATGCTAGCCACTACACCACCGAGGCAGTTAGTATGCGGGCAGTGCTAGTATATATATATATACTAGCACTGCCCGCAGCTTCGCCCGCGTTCAGATGACCGAAAACCAAATTCTTAGGTTTTACATATTAGTATACTCTTACATTGCAATTTTTGTATTTTTTCTCAGAAATGAGACATTTTCCCGCGGTAAAAATTATTCTATATGTTAACCCTGATAACCAGCTATCACCATACCAAACATCAAAATCCCTCCAGTGGTTTTTCTGTGATGCGGTAACAGACATACAGACAGATAGACAAAAATTCTAAAAACTATAGATTCGGCTTCTGTATCGATAAGTTTATTTGAATAAGATTTTCTAAAATATATTTAATGTACAGATTCGGCTTAGTTACAATTTTATTATATGTATAGATTGGTAATTTAACTATTTATTCCAGAAAAACGATTGACGGTATTTCTATATAGTAGACTACGCGGGTTAATTATGTCATTATTATTTCAGAAGTAGATGCGTTAAGTAGATAAAGTAAGGGCGCAATAGTGAAAAACATTTAAACAATCTCCTAACGTAGAGATACTAATTTTTACGAGGGTTGAGTACACAAAGGGTAAAACGGGACCTTATTACTAAGACTCCGCTGTCCGTCCGTCTGTCTGTCCGTCTGTCACCAGGCTATATCTCATGAACCGTGATGGTAAGACAGTTGAAATTTTCACAGATGATGTATTTCTGTTGCCGCTATAGCAACAAATACTATGTAAAAAACAGAATAAAATAAATATTTAAGGGGGCTACAACAAACATGATTTTTTGCCGACTTTATAGATAATCAATCGTATGGAACCCTTCGTGCGCGAGTTCGACTCGCACTTGGCCGGTTTTTCTGATGGTTGGGCCAAATAGAGAAAGAGTAGGTGTTTATTTTTATTTCCAAATACTCAACTGAAGTTTTATTCATAATAGTAATGATCCAGATTCCAGAAAATGGTATTATAATGCCGTATCTGATATTTTACTTCATCTTTGTCACGTAATAAGTAGTATTATTACCTAAGTATTAAATTTGGCCAAATGTATTCAAGACGGGTAGATCAGCGTAGAGCTCTGGTCTATTTATTAATTCAAGGTCAAATGATCCTATGCGTTCTGTAAGCTTGTATGTATGTTTATTGATATATTAATACCTTAATAGACATAAATAACGAAGGTAATATTTAAAATGACTTTTACACTTCGTCGAATGTACAAACAAACTTAATTCAAAAATATCGGTATACGTATAAATAAAACATTTACGAGTATATGACAAAAAATGCAGATTTTATATGTAAATATAATTTTAAATCAATTAAAAGAACGATGCAACGATCCCTATTACATTATAGGATGCATAAATACAATGTACTAAGGCAGGGTATAGATAGCTGTAATCAATACACCTTAGATATTGATACTATTGTCGTCCGTCAATGTCTAGAAAATTGTTTTTCGGCAAAGGTTGAAGTGTTACCTGTGTTAAATTATCTTAATAACAATTTTTATTTTAAATTAGCCCTAAAACAATATAATATTTAAAAATATTTTATTTGCTTATTTAAGAAATCGAGTGGAATTATTGACGTTAAAAAACGAATTTCAAAATTATTTACTAAGCAGGTACGACATTTTATAGACCGACTAATAGTTGTACATTTTTCCTCTTTTTCTCCTTCCTGCCATCAAGAGGATTGAATTATGTATGTGGATACACACTACAGTAAAGTATGTCTCTAAAGTATGTAAGATGAATTGGCAGTTTATAAGAGACTAGCGACTCACCCTCGCTCCGCCTGGGTTCGTCCCTAGTTACGTTTATCGTTTAGTATAGATTTCTCAGGGATGAGATATTTTCCTGCAGTAAAAAGTATCCTATATGTCGACCCGGATAACCAGCTATCATCATACCAAATTTTATAAAAATCTGTCGAGTGGTTTACTCGTGATGCGCTCCCAAACATGCAGACTATTCTAAAAACTATACATTTGGCCTCTTTATTTTAATAATTTATATATTTATGTTAATATTTTTTTATTATAATATTAAAATCTAATATTATTTTTTTATATTAATAAATTTTCCAAAAATATTTAATGTACAGATTCGACTCAGTTGGAATTTTATTATACTTATGTGTGAAGCATTAAGTAACTAAAATAATATTTCTTTTTCTTTTTCACAACTTTTCTTTCGCTGTTAGTGCATGAATAAGGCATGCTGTATACGCTGATGGCTACGATCACTACTTAGCCTTTTGCAGGCATAAAAAAAGTTTCTAATATCTTACTTAAGTTAGTTGTTTAAAGTTCTACCTTTTCAGCTATATATGCATAAGATAATCGAAGTTTTCAGTTAATTATACATTTTATTATTAACTGCTATATTGCTATTATGCAAATAATAGGGATGCTGTATCGAATGGCCTAACATAGTATATTAGGTAGGTATACTTACCAGCACAAAAAATCTTTTTCTAGAATAAAATTTAGCTTAAAGTGCAAAACCTTAGACTATATATCTCTCTAAAACGCAATTTATATCTAAATCAAATACTAATTACGGCTTGAAGAGGTTAACGTGAAAAGATAATAAAGAAATAGACATTTTTTTCTAATGTACTAGCTCGTTTTAGTAGTTTTAGGTAATATAATTACTATAATGGAGCAAAAAAATTAACTCGAAGAAAGTTACAATATGGACGTAGTATAGAAAATGTCTATTCATTTAGTATATTATGAAAAACTGGCTTACGAGGAGTCGTCAAATTGCACATAATAAAATAATATACATAATTAGAAATCATGAATATATATAATATTGTTAAAAGTCATTAATAATTAAAAAAACACAAAAAACGTGTGTGTACTTATGTTCGAACGTAAAAAGTTATACTCTTTGGCGTAACAGAACAAAAATAGCTAAAGATTTCATCCCGTATGTAACAACTCTCTGTTTGTAAAAGGAATGCAGCTAACTTCATCATGTCGCTGTTTGGGTATTCGCGCACATCCTACATTTTTTTCTTTCATATTTTTTTCCAAACATGCCGCCAAAAGAAACTTCAAAAAATAATATTTATTTATTTAATTAATTAAGACGTCTAAAATCTTAGTCTCTCCCGCGACCATGATAGCTGTAAAGCATTCGAAACGTCGGAAACCAAAAATAAAAATAAATCCACGAAAATTTCGAAAATATAGTTTTATTTAAAAATTTTAATGTCAAATATTCGCGTAAATATGAGAAAGTATTATTTAATGATATCAAATTGTTAATTAGGAATACTTAGAAGATTTTTAGGATGATTTTATAAAATTTTAATTGAAACACTTTCCGGCTGATTGACATAAAAGCATTTATGGTAATCGTTGGAAGAGACAGTTTTTGACAGACGTTCGTTACGAGAGTAAAAGATAAGTATTCGTTTTTCAAATAATATTGAATTTATGCTGGCAAACTTATTGGTCAAGAAAAAAATAAAAACCGACTTCCAAAAAAAAACACTGAAAATAAAAACTACCTGTGTGAGATGGTAACTCTAAAATAGTAATATAAATAGTAATAACAATAATAATATGTATTAGACGGAAACACTAAAAGTGAAGTGACATTATAAAACTTATAAAGTAAAAAGTGATAATATAAACATTATTGCCTTGGTTTATTGTGTTCAATAAGAACCGCGTCTTGAAATTATATATTTATTTATACGTTGTTGTAACAATTATTAGTATGAAAATAATTTATGGCTGCAGCTGCAACGGTCAGTGTCAATCAAAAGAATTTATGATATAAGGAGGTTTTAGCTAAAGTCACGAACGAAATTAGCTAAAATTTAATTAGCTAAATTTAAAAAAAACATTTGATTTAAATTTTAATATTAAATAGAAGATTTGCATTTTTATAGAGTAACTAGCGACTCACCTTCGCTCCGCTCATCCCTAATTACGTTTTAACGTTTAGTATAGATTTGAGATGAGATATTTTCCAGTAGTAAAAAGTATCCTATATGTTAACCCGGATGACCAGCTATCATC